TAACCTTAGAACATTAATTTAACGTCAGAAAAGAATGAGAATCCATTACTTCGCCTTCCTCTGGCTCACGAAGCCGAGAATCACAGATATCGCCATCGATCTCCTCGCCTTCGTTAACAAACGCTGGGTTGAACTCGAACATTTCTCGACCGGAAATCTAAAAATTATAGTAAAGTGATGGACTTCGCAACACGTGGAAAAGAATACTGAAATAGGCGGCATGCCTCTTCAGGAGGGGTAGAAAGACAGAAGTAAATACTTACGCCAAACATACGACCTTGGGCAAAATCGGCCTTTTTCTTTTCCTTTGCTTCTTTCCCTGCGGCGATTTTTTCTACTCGCTAGATAAGAGAATAGGTACACAAAACACCATGCAAAAGAGCAAGGTCTGCACCAACACCCCAAACAACGACATACCTTGCGCTTCTTCCACGCCAGGAAGGTTTGAAGGGTAACCTTAGTTTGGTTCATTCCCAGAGCGCGACGCTGAATGGAGAAAAAGCGTTATAGTTTTACAAGGACAGATATTAGTTTAGATGAAAAAAGCGACTCACCTCTGTTTCAATGAGTTCGTCCAAGGAAATGGTCTCCTTCTGCTCCTCCATCTTTTTCCTGTCCTTCTTGAGGACAAATCCAGGTGGAAGACAGTGACGATAGTGACATCCTTCACCGTTTGGACAGTTCCAGAACCAACCGTACTTGCCCGCCTCTACTGCATCGAGAAAATATTTGCAGATCTGGAGAAAGTATTATAGAAAGACCTATTAAACAAAGTTACTATAGTTGTAGGGGGAAGACCCTTATTATGGGCACCATGTTTCTTAGTTATGACATCTTCTAGTTGTTCTTGGTTCCAATCATCCATCTCATTGCGTTCATCTTCATAAATGTTCTTCTTCTCAGCCTTGCGTTCAATTGTCAAGTCATGGGAGAACTTGCATTTGTCACCCTTAGTACACGTTCCTTGCTTGAAAAATATGCAAAGAATGGATTTAGGGTCAGCTCCTAGAGGTGTCGTTCTCCACAAACGAGCTTAAGTACCTTTCGATATCTTTTGTAGCTCGGTAACTGGCTTGAATAGCAGGGTAAGTTCATCAGGTCCTCCCTTCTTCTCAGCTTTGCGAGCCTCCTTCTCCTGCTGAATTTTCTCCATCTTTGTTAGATAAGTAAGCTTTTAGAGGTAATACCGTACATCTCGAAAGGACTTGTTGCCATAGGTGACCTGTTTCTGTACTTGCTGAACATACTTCTGCTGTTTAGCGCCCTTTTTATTTTTCAGGCCGAAAGTCTTATCTTCAATTATTTTCTTCTTTTCCTTCTCAAGAGTCTTCTTTGAAGGCCCATCATTCCCCTTCTTTTTTGGGGGCATGAGACAGCCAGAATCCAATCAACCGCTCTTCTAGGAGAGGTAGATAAATGATGTTACAGATTTTAAAATATTGTTTTTACGTATGTACTACATGAGATAGTTTTATATTTGTTCACCAAGCATTACTATGATATTTATACAAAAGTAAACTGGCACACATTGTGTAAATACCTTTATGAAGAGATCTTAGATTTCAATTCTTATTATTCATTACTTGGGGTGTTACTCACCAAATTAAGGTGCGTTTTGTGTCTCTTTTATTTCTTTTTAATTCAATTTAATGAAGCGTTTTTAGCTTTTTACCACCTGAAGTGGTTACGTACAGGTATTGTTTCTCCTGGGCTCCAAATGTTAGTGGCATCCCGTTCCGCCATTACTTTATCACCGCCCAGTTTTCACATTTTATTCGTTTCCGATGCCCTAAAACTGAGATAGTTTAATGCCAAAGAGATGTCCCACTTCAAATCATGGCCCGAAAGAATCGTTGTTGTGAGCCATAGGAAGGCAACCGCCTGATTATTGTAGCATCTCAAGACCTTCCATTTGATAGGATTTTACAAAATTCCTGTACACCGATGACAATAGCAGAAACAGGTGTAGCTTTCCGAAATCTTT